ATGGCTGGCCTCTTCAGAGCCTTCCCTGTAGAAGCCATAGTTTTTCCAGCAATAGAAATTCTTTTTAGAACTTTTTAAATCATTGTTTTAATTACCTGCTGCTGTGCAATGAATTTTTCCAAAACTTAGTGGTTTAAAAAACCCAATGGCTTATTACTTCTTCTGATTCTGTGGATTGGCTTGGCTCAGCTGGGAGGTTCTGCTGCTCTCCCATAGAGTGTCTGGTGCCTCTGTGTTCAGATGGAAGCTGGACCCGCTGGCATGTCTGGAATGGTTTCTCTTCCTTCATGGTCTCCCAGAACTTGAAAGTTTCTTATGTGGCTGCTGGATCCTAAAGGTGTAGATCTAGAACCGCCACACTGGCACTTCTGCAGCAATCTATTGACCCGAGAAAACCACAAGGATGGCCCACGCTCAAGGTTTGTGGGTGTGGCTTTACCTTCGTTACCCTCCCTGGTCCATCATGATTATCTATTTTCAGAGTTCATGCTAATGCCTATTTACAGTGTACAGAGCATGTTTCACAATTACCTACTGTGATTTCTGGAGCAATTAATTATAACCCTTCTATCTAAGAAACCACATCTCAGAGGAGGAAAGTGACTCTCCCTAGGACCTATCAGTGGAGCCAGCATATCTGAATGTCCCTCTGGCTTCATACGGTTAGAGATTCCTCCAGTGGGAGTGGATTTGATCTTTAGAAACAGCTGGATATTTTTTTCTGCATCAAATTTGGTTAAAACATAACAAGATTGGCAGAGCTGGGTAAGCACTGTTTTTGCTTGCATATGTAATAAGATTGTGCCACTTATTTCCTATGGCTCATCCATAACTCCTGAGCATATGTGGAATGTGTGTGTGATCGTGGGGGGTACTTCAAACGTGTATGAGTCCCTTTGTCAGTGTCACCCCTCATGAATAAAATGTACCTGGAGATGTACACAGTCAGCTTTTTGGGTGGACAAGGCCCTGTGCAACCTGAGACAGGCAGTCTCCCCAAGTCATTTCCAGCTCTTTGTTGGTAAACTCTGTTGCCACTGTATTGGTTTGCAGTTATTTTGCTTTCTTTCCAAACTCTACTTCAGAAAAATGCTGGGAAAGAGGGAAGCTTTGAAATTAAAACCTTTTATCTTTCAAAACTTTTTTTTCCTAAACAAGTCTCTTCAGTTTGTCTTTCATTTCCCCTTTGACTCTGGTGCTTGGTTCTCTTAAATTACCTTCTGTCATCTCCTCACTAGAAACATCTTTTTCTTAGGTGGGATCCTTTACAATAACTTCTGTTTTTGTTGCTTTCACAAGGTTACAATGTTGCTTTCACCATGTGGCGTACTCATCATTTTCCTTCTTATTACAGGCAAATAATTTTGTAGTCATTCTTGTGATAATGGTTTTTTCATTGGCTAATTTCAACCTTTTACTTTCGTGTGATCAATTATTTTCAAACATGTTCTTGGAGGCCCAAAATAGTCTATGCATTTTTCACAGCATTGATATTACTATATGTTAAACAGTTTATTGTTCGTTACTTACTGTGGAGTTTTTTTGGTACTAGAGATGGAATCCAGGGGTACTTTACCACTGAGCTACATTCCAGTCCTTTTCATTTATCATTTTGAGACAGTATCTTGCTAAGTTGCATTGGCTAGTGTCTAACTTGTCATCCTCCTGCCTTAGTCTCCCCAGTTGCTGGACCTACAGGTGTAAGCCACTGCGCCTGGCTTACTGGGGTACTAGGGATTGAGCACCCATAGGCACTTTACCACTGAGCTACATTCCCAGTCCTTTTTATTTTTTATTTTGAGACAGGGTCTCCCTAATTTGCTGAAGTTGACATTGAACTTCTTCTGATCCTCCTGCTCCAGGCTTCAGAGTCTGGGATTATAGGCATGTGCCACCCTGCCTGTCCACAGAATGTTTAAATAACTGTGCTGCTAATTATTAATTTATTCACTCCTCAAGAACTTATTAGATTCCTACTTATATAGTGACTGTCCTAAGCCAGGGTTCTGGTGGTCAAATAAGTAGATGTAGCCCCAGGGACTTTGTATTTTGAAATGAAACTTGTGATTTTGCAGAATTTTCTGACAATAGTAAAGACATTGTCAACTGCTCTTGTTCATTTTGCTTTCAGCAGGTGTTAGGAGCCACAACTAGGAAAAACCAATTTTAGTCAATCACATGCAATGTCCTGGAATGGCTGGGAACATTAGGGTGGGAGGAATGAAGGGCTGGCATGGGAGACTTATGGTTTGGAAATGTCTCACAGGCTCAAAAACAATGAAGCCAACTGACTATGGACTGAAACCCCTGACACTCTGAATCAAAATAAACCCTTTCTGTATATAAAGTGGTTATCTCAGTATTTTGTCACAGCAACAGAAAACTGACTAACACCAGTGTTTCTAAATGACCCTGTTTCCAGTGAACACAGTAAACACTTTATCATGATCTCCACTTTAGTTGACCTTCTCTTTTCTAATTGAACAGCAAATTGAAAACTGGGGATAGCAGATGATGAATAAGGTGAAGACAATTATTCCCAAAAGGAAATTGAAGTCTTTAATCCTTTTTGGAATTCACCATGCCATGAGAGTGGATGACCAATCTATTCTTCACCCCCATCACTTGATCAATTCAACAGAAAATTATCCGTCACTTTCAACTCCTGCAGCGTTTTGTGTCACTCACAAAACACTTGTCCTGATTCACCTATTCTGTAGTTAGTTTGGTGCTTTTACATATCCTTAATCAGATGATAAATTCTTAGGGACTAGAATTCTTCCTTCATGTCCACTGGCATCAAGGTTTCATTTGAGCCATGATTTCATTAAGAAATATACTAAGGAATTCTTTTTGTAAAACTTTTTTTTAAATTTTAATATTTATTTTTTAGTTTTCGGAGGACACAACATCTTTTTTTTTTTTTTTTGTATGTGGTGCTGAGAATCGAATCCGGGCCGCACGCATGCCAGACGAGCACGCTACCGCTTGAGCCACATCCCCAGCCCCTAAGGAATTCTTATACAAACAAAATTGCTCAAAAATAAGATCCATTGGGGGACCTTCATAATAACCATATGCTCTTAGGTAGGGTTGAAAATCTTAAACCTCATTCAATTCTTTGAGAATGGAACATGACTCAAATATGTTAATAAGGAAGATAAATATTACTACTATCTTTTTAGCAATCCTAGGGAAATTTCTTATCCCAATTTTATAAATGAAGAAAACTTAGTATAGAAACCTTCTTAACTTTCCCAAAGTAACAGGCTTTACAAGGGCATGTAAAAGAGAATGGTGAGCCAATGGCTTGGACCAACTTAGACAGCTTATCTAGGTAATTGAGTTCTCTACCATGAAAACAGCATTAAGGACTAACATTTTAAGTCTTTAAAAGCCTGGTCTTACAAATACATTACTAAGTTTCCAGAGTCAATGATGCCATTGGTATCTGCAGTAATAATATATCTCTATGGTCATCACAGGTGATATCTTAGGTTCTGTTCAGTTTCAAGCTTGTATTTCCTAGTATTATATAACTTAAAATCAAATCTTGCTGATTAAATTGGCAGGCCATTTCATTAGTTAAATGTGCAAACTATAGGTTTTAACTGTAATTCACATTGGATATTAACAAAAATATTATTTTAAATTTTTAATAAAATATTATTTCAAAATTTTACCAACATAATAAATATACATAGTTTAAAAACCCAAATAGAACTACAAGAAGTGCAAGGAAATATTTCAGAACTATGCCTAACCTCTTTACCCATCTCAAAGTATAGTTCCAGAGGTGACCAATGCCTTTCATTTCTTTTAGCTCTTCTGATATAATCTTTGTATCTCTAAATGATATACTTTTTATGCTATTTACTGATTTATGGATTTTAGACCTGTTGCCTTTTATTTTTATTATGTAGTTGAAGGTTCAACTCTTATATAACCTACATTCCACCTACCCAAACTACACATCCCTCCCCTCCTCCATAGAACATAATTCTATCTCATATTTTGGTTAAATACATATTGTTTATTTATATTATTTGAACAATGTCCATAAATTAATTCTGGATCAAGTATCACTCTATACTTATATTTTCTTTCACTTACAACTTCTCCCTTTGGAGTAAAGTATAACCATGTTTCCCATGTGCTTAGTTTTCTGTCTTCCTTGTTCATTTTCTCCTAATTCTTTCCAAATATCTATTACCTGCCCAGTGTTTTTTTTTTTTTTCAGTTTCCAGACATTGTTCTGAACATTCCATGTGTTCCAATTATCTCTCCCTCTTTCTCCTGCTCCAGTCTGGGTGGTTTTCTGGGTCTGCTGTCCAGTGGTCACCTGGGCCACTTTCGCCTCTCTCTGATCTTCTGTGGAGAACAGAACATTTCATATTTTCCTTTTTCTCAGCTTATACTCTCATCTACTGAAGCACACTTTCCAGGAGATTCCCAAGAAAGGGAATGTGGCGGTCAATTTTGTTTCCTTCTATATAAAAAATGTCTTCCTATCACCCTCAACTCATGATCTGTTTTCTTGTCCTCCACTGTTCTCTGTTTTTATGAGTTTGTACCCTTTTTATTCATCATCATTTAGTTAGGCATTTAAGATGGGAGTGGGGAGATAAATACACACATGAAGGCTCGTATTAACCAAGTCCCAATGTGTGAGTGTGGGCTTAATGAATTTATTATTTCAGTTCTGATATTTTTGTTGGATGCTTGTGCAAGGTACTGCCAGGCTTGCAGATTGAGGCTGTCCCTGTGCCAGGCAGACCCTATGCCAGGTAAGATTGGCATCAGGGCCCTCTGAGAGATGATGAAATTGGGATTCAAAGGAGTAAAGAAACTTTCTCAAGAATGCGCAGTTAAAGACTGGAAGAACTGAGATTCCAAACCAAATCTGAATCCAGAACTCTTCCTTTTCTGCTCTGCTGATAACTGAAGCCCAAGAGATAGGGGCCAAACCTCAGCATTTATGGATTAGTGTAGACGACACCATGGCTGGCTATGGAAATTTGGATGGTCTTCAAGGAAGAGGCCAAGAATGGGCAGGGTAAGTGGGAAGTATAATTCCAGGTACGGTGAGTCACAGAAGGTGCTGGCAACACTGAGGAACAGCAGCTGGCTATGATTGGCTGAAAAGCCAGGGCTGCAAGGAAGGCATGAATAGGTCAGGGCCCAAGGCCTAGGGCTGGGTGAGCTCTGCCTGTTACCTCTGTGTCCTCAGGCAAGTTACTTCCCTAAGTATTGGCTTCATCTGTGAGTGGGGATGACAATAGCCTCTTCATAGCATTATCTGAAGGATTAAATACCATACAAAAAAGTAAAATTTGTTAATTTTAAAGTACTTAATACATATAAGGCATTATTCTTATTAGCCCAGAAAGTTCAGTTGTGATTATAGGAGGCCTGGAATGGGATTCTTATTATTTTATTATATGAGGGAGAAAGAGAAAATAATTCTGATGGGGGAGCATGACTGATGGGTGGTGTGGTGTGAAGCTGGAGTAGGGGGGGGAAGGGATATCTCTGTAGAGTGTCCTGGGACTGGCGAGTTTGGAAGCTCCGTTTCCACTGAATAGAGTTTGTTCTCACAAGTGAGCCCAGTGGAAAATTTTAAGCTATTGGGAACTGTGTGCATAGGCCTTGGAAACTGAAGATGTTCCTTTAAAAGAAAAATCACAGTGCCTTTTAAATTCAAGGAACAGCTTTAAGCGTGATCTGCTTTTCTCTCTTGCCAGTGCTAGAGTTTTCTTGGGATGTTATCAGGGCCAGCATCAGAACAATGCTCACTTCTGTTTTGTTTTTAATCTGAATGACAAATTACCAATCAGCAGATGTAGGCCATGCAAGGAACTTTCTCTTGAATGTTGGATTTTTGCTGTTTGCTGTTGCTCTTTTTCTTTTCTTGTTCCCAGTGAAGGTAGTTTTTATGTTCAGGTTTAGAGGGCTACTGAATGTTGTTTGAGAACTTGACTGCTGTGTCAGGCTCCTTCTGACATTTTCTGTTGCCAACTGTTATTCGTTATTCTAAAAAATCAAACAAGCAAAAACTACCCCTCCAAATAACTCCAAGACAAACTCCAGCAGCAGGGTAAAGCAAAACACACAAACAAACCCCCAACTTTCCTAGGATTGCTTCTCAGAAGCAAGATGCGTCTGATCATTATTAAATTCTATTTTTTAAAATTTTAAGTTTTAACATAGGACATTTATATGATAATTTTTTTTTTTTTTTTAATTTTGCAATGCTTGTGTTTGGACCCAGGGCTTGGCTTGTGCTGAGCAAGTGCTCTTCCACTGAGCTACATCCCTGGCCCTATCTGATTATCTTTTGTTATTGTTATTTTTTTTTTCCTGAAAGAGGAATTCAAATAAAAACATTTTGGGTCCTCTTTTATCAAGTTTAATTTTTAGGGTGTGTCAGGTGTGCTGTTTCCAGGATCCAGGCTGTGGGGGCACAGGCACTCGCCATATATCACACGACATGGCTCAACCACTCACCTTCTCTCTGCCCTCAGAATACCTTGCCTTTCACTGCTTGATTGTGCTTATTGGTGATCTATAGTCAGCTGTGTCCCACAAGATGTTGGGTTGTTTGGGGACAGGGTCATATAGCCTTCAACTCTGTAGCCCCAGAACTCAGCAGGGATTGATGCCCTGCAGTCCATTAAAATTCCGAGTGCATCAGTGATACAGAGGATCTTGCTCTGACAGTGGGGAAGAATGTGCTGCTATCAGCACTCTGGAAGAAATCAACATTTTGGGAAGATGTGGAGAAGTGGGCCTGCAGTGGGAACTGCAGGAACTCCAGATAGCTCAAGCCTTACCCAACCTGCAGGTTGCACAATAGTGTAATCTGGATGATTTTTCTTCCACATAAGTGTGCAAGTCTCCTACTTGCCCCTTTCTCTCATCAGATTGTGGCCTCACTCATCTTATTATCCCTACATCTCTTGCCTTGCATGGTGAGGTCAGTGAATGGTGACTGAATGAGGAGGGAGAGGGAAGGAGGGAAGTGGGGGTAGGGGACCTGAGGTCTGGAGGTTTGAAAAAGTGTCTGCTTCCAAAATTTGTTCTGGAGTTTCTGGTTCTTCAATACTTGGGTTGGATCTGAGCACTCCCTGGTCCTTGGTGATGGCTGTCCAATTTTAGCCACACAGGTCACTTGTAAGGCATGACCCTCAGGCAGCAGTTAAAGAAGGATAGTTGTCATTCCCAATCATTTAAAACCCACCTTGGTGCTCAGTGGGTATTCCAAAATGGAAGATGGTGGGCATTTGTATTTTACTTTATTAAAATACAGTTTGTTCCTTTTTCTAACTTTCATATCTGAAGGCTAAAAAATAGTTTTAAACAACTTTTTAAAAATCTATTAGATTTTCCAATTGTTTATTACCAAAGGGTCACAAAGGGTGCAAGAAAACAGGATATTGATGTTCATGTGGTTCCCTTGTGAGCTGCCAGATGAAAGCCCTTTCAAAGCAGGTTTTATTTAGAAATTATTAGAAACTGATGGCTCTAATAAAAGCACAAAGCCTGGGTTTAATCCCTAGCAACAACAAAGAGAGAGAGAGAGAGAGAGAGAGAGAGAGAGAGAGAGAGAGAGAGAGAAATATTTAAAAATTTTCCATTAAACTTGCATAGTTGATTGTAATTTTATTTACCATCTCCTCTTATTCCCATCTCAATTCAAGAACAATAGGGAAGATGTGCACACATGTATTTTTAAAATACCAAGTCAGGATAAGATCTTTTCCTATGAAATATAGGTATACCACAGTATATCCGAAGCTATGTTTAGTGTACTTTTATTATCAGATAATTACACAGTTGTTCCAAAAGGAAAATCTAAATCTGTCTTAGTCTTTGAAAAATAAGTTTGGGATTTAGTATACCGGCAGACAAATCTCAGCTCTTGGTATTGTCCTTAAAAACAACACAGGATGTAATGTTTACTCTACTTTTATAGGGTAAAGACAGACAAAGCCCCAAGACCTAGGTATTTAGGAAGATGGTTAATGCTTTCTCTATTAATTTATTCCTTAAGCTCTGCGATTCTTTGCATTCAAATGAAATACTCAATTTGCTGACCCTGTAAACAAGCTGAGAGTCTTCCAGAGCATGAGTGTGTAGATAAAACATATGAATGAACAATAAGAAGTATTACAAAGTCTGGTTTAACCATCTCCAAGTGTCCAAACTAAGGACATTTGTTATAATTAATACATGGAAGACATCTGCAAACCTCTATACATTATTAGTCATCACTTTATGAAAAGTCATGACAAAATAAAAATAGTTACCATTTAAACCCTGATTAGTCATTATCTTATTTAATCCTCACAATCCTATAAAGTAGTCACTATCATTATCCCATTTAACAGATAAACAAACTGAGGATTAGGAAGGTTAAATAACACTACTAAGGTCATATGACCAAAGAATTTGGGAGCCATTATTTCAAATTCTTACCAAGTGTATATTTTTATTCATTGTATCATACAGTCTACCCAGGAAGGCACTCATCTATTTGTTTTATTCACTTTATATATAGCATATTTGTTTTATTCACTATATATATTAATTACATATAAAAACTCAAAAGTTATCTCTTTAGGACATTATGGAAATAAATATACTCTTGTCTTGGAATTTGGCACATATTTTTTTTGTGTGTGTGTGTATTTCATGCTTCTCCAAATTTTTGAGTGACTGTTTCACTCACACAACTTTGAATCAGCAGCATTCCCGGTGAACTGCAGGAACAACCTGTTGTTTAGATGGAAATTAGACAGTCACAGCCTCTCACAAACCATGGTCTGGTATAGTGGCGCATGCCTATAATCCCAGCTACTCAGAAGTTGAGGCAGGAGGATAGCAAGTTCCAAGCCAGACTTGGCAATTTAAGGAGACCCTGTCTCAAAATATAAAATAAAAAGGGCTGGGGATCTAGCTCAGTGGTAGAGCACCCCCGGGAACAAATCCCAGTACTAGCAATAAAAAGAGTCACAGACCCCTGACCTTCATCTGAGCTGTGCTTCTGCATGGATACTAACAAGGAAACCAACTTTTATGAGTTATTGTAGGACATTTCCTCAGGTGAGCAAAAAGTTCTTTTTATTTTCTACATCTGCTCTATTTAATGTAGTAACTGCTGGCCACATGCATCTTTTGACATTTAAATTTTAAATAATTAAAATACAAAATTAGTTTCATAGTTGCATGAGCCACATTGTAAGTGCCAAGTGCTCATATGTGGCTGGTTGCTCCCATGTTGGACAGAGTGGGTATATCGTTCCCAGCCTGAGAGAAGTTTCTACTGGATAGAACTGTCTGGATATTTAGACTAGCAAGCACCAAATCCATAGTTAGAAAACACAACTACTTTTAAAAGGAGGGATGGCCTTGAGAATCTAGAAATCAAAGAACTATTGTCCTTTTGAATTTAAATGAATATTGGCTACACTGACTGGGCCTTTCTGTAGCCAGTTCTATTTGCATTCATTAGGGTAAACAGGGTTCAACTTATTACCTCCTAACATGTTCCGCAGAGCACACAGTAAACAGCAGCTCCCAAGCTGCTTCTGCCAGCTTCTCTCAGGTGTTCTGCTTGGGTGGGGAATTGCAACACTATAGGCGAGCCCAGGTGGCCCCATGGAGCATGTCTCCATCTAGCTGGGTGCTGCAGGGGGAATACCAAGATTTAGTTAGGGCACTGAATGCTTTTCCCTCTCTCTGAAATAACAACCCTTATTCATTAAACAACACTTTCCCTAGATGTACTCATGGGCATATTTGAATTTGTTTAATCTTCACTGTTTCCATACATTGATAATAGGCGGGGATCCAGAGACTGAATGGGGACAGCAGCCCGATGGAGCCCTACCAACTATTCACAGATTCAGCACTGGCAGCAGCCACAGGGACCAGCAGTCTATGTAATGGGAATTGGAAAATTGCCCAGGGAGATTTTAAAATATGTTTTTGAAGCTCCAATTTCCCAACAAACATACAGCCTTCTTTCCCTGCTTGAGAAACATGAATTCATTT